TAAAAAGGAAAACTATATAACACATAATCCAACTTCAACCCAGATATTAAAGCAAGACACAAATATGGAATCAATTGATCAGTCTCAGAAAACTAGGAAAGCTCATACTTGGCTAGAACCACTGTCATGTTACGCTTGAACCTACTCAGAGACTCGGGGACGATCAAATTTTTGGTTACTTTTTTGTACAAACTACCAGCTCTAAAGGTGAAACTTCTGGCTCTTATATTTGTTCTAGGCCCAGGAAGCATAATTTTAGTCTGCCCACCTCTCGTTCGAGAATGCCCTGTATTATAAACATCAAAGGACCCAAAATCGTTACACTGGTACAGAAGTTTGTGAACCATGCACACATCAAACACCTTGCGCCGAGATTCCAGCGTTGAGAGTTCAAGATATCTATTACGAATAGAGGCTCTAGGAATGCCAGAATAGAAAAAGCATCTGCACCGGGAAAGAATTTTACGCGTGAAGTTATTTTGCACCTTTTTCAAGTGCAAAGACGTCCTTCCTCCTGTTGGGATGGAACACTGTAGCACCACTCTCAACCAAAGGGCGAACATATGTCTTATAAGCTTTGAGAAGGATGGACTTATTCGTAGTAGACAGCCCCTTAAAAATGTGCGACGTCCTCAGTAACGCTAGCTTACACCGAGAGCGAATATGCATGGAAAAGTCAAGTGTATTGGTATAGAGGAAACCTAGATCCTTTACACAGTTTACGGAGGAGATAGTAACCCACCACAGGTGTAGGAGGAAAAAGGACAGGTTCGCTTGCCGAATCGTCGGATACATCATTATGCGGGCCAAGGGGAGCTGTCACTGCTAGCCAGTCAGATTATAATGATAGTCTCCACAAACATAGTTGGGCGCATTGCCAAGGGTACGGGCACCACTAGTGGAAAATTAATCGAACGCCAAAACAACATTTACTTTTCTTGGAAATGGAACTAGGCGCGAGAAGAGGTGAGATTGCAGGACCGTACACCTGATGGTGCGCGTAGAAATTTTCATCTTGCCCAATGTTTGCTGTCCGTTACTAGCGCCCTTCAGTTAACGGAGGGCGCTCCCTCATGTTGCGAATGGCCGCACTATTTACTCTTCCAGAGTATCTCACTGACTTTCGTGGGTAGCTACTACGCGTCCCAGCAATTCAAAAGAATGCCCTTACGATAGCATCGAGACTGGCGAAGGGGCAAAACAATCGCGTAACTTTATATTACCGCTTTCTGTATTGACTGTAATCTCGTGCCTTGGGTGTAATTTTATCCTGGTAATCGGGGAAGAACCTTCTGTTTATCTCAACTGCTGCCTAGCTGATCTCTCAATTAACGTTCTGTGTTTCCTAATTTTGGTGATGCTCAGATGTGAATTAGTGTAGCGCACCTCAAGCGTGCAATAAACTTAAAAAAGTATAACATGAATGAATTTCTTTCGTATTGGGCGCGAATTGTGGAACAATGACAGCTGAAGACATTTGAACCATCAAGCATCCCCAAAAGCCATTCAAAACCGGTACGCTCGGGGCCTTAGGAGGAGTGTAAAGACTGAACGGCATGTCACGTTTAGTAGGAAAATTAACCTCTTTGACCTTGGTGGATAGCCATTCTATCGCCGCTCACAAACATGGCCTCCAAAGCGACCAAACAACAAGCGGCCAACGGTATTCCAAGTTCAGTTCCGCCGTCTAATAACGTTCGTATAGCATATATGAAGTTGCTCCAAACGCTCAAAGGGAAGGTGTACCGAACAGTAGTCAAGGCCTGCGATGCTATACGGCAGCGAGTGCTGGCCCCTGAACAAGAACCACGAAAGGCAGCTTCACTCCGCTGAGATGAGGATGCTGAGGTGGGCCTGCGGCTGGACGCGGCTGGACAGAGTTAGAAACGAAGATGTCAGAGCGGTCATGCAGACTGCCCCTGTCCAGCTGAAGGTACGGGAACAGCGTCTACGATGGTATGGGCATGTGCTAAGGAGGCCACAGGATCATCCGATAAGAACAGCGATGGACTTCGAAGTGCAAGGCAAGCGACCGCGAGGAGCCCCAAAGAAGAGGTGGAAGTCATGGCCACAGCAGAGGACGCCCTGGACAGATTAAAGTGGCGACGACTGACAAAGACAGCGGACCCTGCGACTGCGCGGGACTAACGCTAGGGAGAAGAAGAAGAAGCTCTACACACACCACTCTCAAGCTCGGCCGGCAACGCCATTAGCCACGACAGCTTACCTAACTTCAATGCCACTTATTCCGTTCTTGAGCCATCACTGATATCGTTATCACTGAATGCATATTAAAAATGATGCTTCGATTCCAGTACTAAGCAGTTTCACCTTTTGCTACGAACATCTGACACTTCGAGCTTATTCATAATCCATATTGTGCCCCATACCAGTGCGTACCAAAAGTATGTGGACACCCTGGAATCGATTCTCAGGGGTCAGCTAAAGGCTTTTATGTCATGAAACCTTCACATTCAACTCCTAGTGGTCGGTAACCTAGCAATGATATTTCTCGCAAGAGATTGGCGTTCTATCTATTAGGTTGTCTCATAAGTAGTGGCGCATTTTTTCAAACGGAAATTTTTCTTGTGAACCTCTAATGTTTTACAATGTTTCATATACCATTCGATAGGAAATTATCTGCTCTACAAGAAGGTATGTACCCTTTTTTTGATTGTTGCAAATTGTTTGAGTTTTAGGCATGCAAAGTGGGAGCTTCAGACGACGAATTTTTGCCAAACCGACAGCTGACCTAAACTTTATATACTTCCCTAGAGAGAAATCAATCAATAATGTAACTATAACTTACTCATAACCTCTACTAAACATTCCACATTTAGGTTCCCTAAAAGCTTGTCTCGTTTAATTTTGAGATTTAGTTATTCCAGTGCAACTCGGTGGTTGCCTGCCGGCTTTTGTGGCACTCGATCCTTGGTTGAAGGTGAACAGCAGAAGGTGCCGGAAGTGTTCCTTTTCGTCGACTTGACATACCACCATTTTCTATGCTGAAACTCGACCAGGATTGAAATCAAAACCAAATTCTGCATGCGGGTAAGTAGAGCAGAAGAACGCTTCCTACAGGTGTATAAAGTAGCGTCAATACTGAGGAATTGGAATGGAAAATATCAGTCTGAAGGAAGCCCTATGGGTTGACAGGCAACCACCGAGTTGCACTGGAATAACTAAATCTCAAAAATTAAACGAGACAAGCTTTTAGGGAACCTAAATGTGGAATGTTTAGTAGAGGTTATGAGTAAGTTATAGTTACATTATTGATTGATTTCTTCTAGGGAAGTATAAAAGTTTAGGTCAGCTGTCGGTTTGGCGAAAATTCGTCGTCCGGACCTCCCACTTTGCATGCCTAAAACTCAAACAATTTGCAACAATCAAAAAAAGGGTACATACCTTCTTGTAGAGCAGATAATTTCCTATCGAATGGTATATGAAACATTGTAAAACATTAGAGGTTCACAAGAAAAATTTCCGTTTGAAAAAATGCGCCACTACTTATGAGACAACCTAATAACTTAGCGAACTATTTTTCATGGAAAGTTTTTTCTTTGTATCAAAATTATGTGGACACTTTTTGAAAAACGGCAATATCTTCAAAATCTGAAATCGGTAGGCCTACCAAAGTTTCTAGTAAGTTGAGCCATTCTGTTTGGCATGCTATGAATGGGGTCTGGATACATGTCTTGCAGATCTGTTCCCAACTAGCAAATTTCACCGACGTGTTAGGTCACTTGTGATATTACTCTTTTGTTCAATGACGTAGAGACCGCGAACCACGATACCTCTACGTTTTCAATAAGGATGAAGTCTGAGGAATACGCTAGCCGACTTGCCAATCAAAGCCGTTGCGTTTAGCATTTTTCCAAATGGAATGGTGTCAGGGACCTCCCCTGCAAAACAAGTGATTTGCAACCATGACTTTTCGAAAAAGGTTGTAGCCGGGACTCAAGCACCTCATTATAATCCTAGTCGTCTACCTGACATGTTGGCAAGCCAAACTTCAATGTCCCCCTCCTTTTGGAACCACCCCAGACCTTTGATGAACATCTTCCGAATTGTCTCTTCGAGCACATCTGCGGGTCCGACCAAAGTCTCTCCAAAAACCTCAAGACCCACCCGAATAGTAAGGAATAAGCTTCTTTCTGCCAGTCGAGTTGGTCTATGAAAGAAATTTCCACAGAAAGTCTTTTATACTAATTTTACCATTTCCAAATCTTTTTGCCGAGAATGTCATTGTAGGTTATCGACCACTAGGAGTTGAATGGTGAAGGTTTCATAACACAAAAAGCCTTTAGCTGACTCCTGAGAATCGATTCTAGGGTGTCCACATACTTTTGGTACGCACTGTATTACACTTTTCCGCTTCTCGAGTATTCCGGTGCAGATCCTCCTCGGCTGTGTGCTACATCGCTCGCGTAGTTCCCAATATTAAACGTGGGCCATCCCAAACATCGAAAGTGGAATGAAAATCTTCCTGTACCTCTGCTGTCACTTTGTGATTCCAGGTATCGCAATGTTGCTAATGGTGTGGTGCCTTCCCGAACCAGAGTCGGACATCGCCGTTACGATTATCTTTGTCACGGCCATAATGACCGATAAACCTCTGGTTATTATATGGCTGATTTCAAGGATCTACAAAAAATGCTGCAAAGGGGACACAGTAAAACAGGTACAAGCAATCGATCCTTCTGATTTCCTTTCCATAGCTTACAATCTTTTCATGCGCGAGGCCAAAAAACTCGATAACAGCTGAAATCAACCTCATTTGGGACTGGGTATCAGGAAAAAATATGTGTTATTACAGCACTTTCAAAGAGGTTTTCTGGGCCGAATTAATCGGAATTGTTAAGGTGGATAGTGATTTGGAAACGAAGAAAGTAGGCGACATGTCATCAGTAACAATCAGCACTCCAGCTGTCTGACTCATTGGAACCTGAGCCGTTCAAAAGAAAACCCAGTCATGAAATGAAGCACTGGTAGTCTAATCCATGCAAGTGGGTGATTTTATTCAGTATACGCATATTTTTTATTCGTCTGAATTATATATAATTTTTTTGAATTATCTAGCTAACGTAAGTTCAACCTCAACGGCATCGAACCCAAATGTTTCCCATTTCAGAAAATCACAGAGTGTAGCGGTCTTCATGGAAAGCTCCACTCTATACTGTTTCAGCTGGATGGATGTGGTCACAAACAAAGAGTGATGGTTCCACAAATATATTCTATCGATGCATTTGTTGTTCCTGTCGGGTTTTTAATAAATACTTAATTTTGGACCAGAGTTCTGTTAGCTCTGTGCATCTACCCTTTATTTCGGAAACGGGAAGAGCATCGAGTGCAGACCACACCCCACAAATTACGACGACTAAGAAAAATGGAAACAAAAGCCACTTCTTTTGGCGTCATCACTTGTGGTGCGTTTTCTGCACTCGACGCTCTTCCCGTCTTCCGAAATAAAGGGCACTAAGGTTAAGATTTAGGAAGGTAACGAATTTTAACTGACTGACACTTTGACGTCGAATTCACATCATGTCGAAAGCTGAGCTAGGGTAAGAGCTTAGCCGTGTAGTGTGCATATAGGAAAAACACCTTCAACTCGTTTCCCTATCTAGGACTGTGCCGGAAAAGGGCGCATTTTGAAAGTAAGAATGGATGTAAGAAATAACGAATGCTAATCAAGTTCGCTATTGGAAGTAGCGGACGTTCTTGCGAAGGAGGCCACGAAGTTGGAGGAGGACCTCCTTACCATCGTAGCCTCCAGTCCAGGGTGGCTGAAGTGAAGGGCGCTCACAGGATTTCCTCCCCTTTGTGGGGGAGAGAAAACCTCACCGGCGGCGCGGACGCGAGCGCGTGCTGGTGACGTCAAAATGGCGGCAGGCTCAAAGAACGAGCAAGCAGGCGTAACACGCTACCACGAAGGGAATGCTGCGTTTTGTGCAGATATACCCAACTCAATCAACTGTGCCTCAAACGAAGAGATTGTGTTATGCACAGGTACCATCTCCACAGAGGAACTGGAATTTTGAACACGTAGGAGAAATGGAAAATGCGTTCGCGTGCACACCGTTAAGAGTCAACTGAAGTGATTAAACCAAGTGTGTTGTTCGAGTCGATTCCTACTTACTTCTACTAATTACACAGTAAATAAGAGTGCGATAGATGCTTGGACTACTTGAAATATTAGAATTCTAACCCTTGCTCGCTCCCTCGCCGCCGCTGTGACGTCACCAACACGCGAACGCGTCCGCACCCACCGGTGAGCTTTTTTATGGAGCCCTCCTTTGTACTGTAATAATTATGACAGTGCCGAGATACTACGACGAAAGAAGCTGGAGTTTGCTGAGCGAATTTTCGGAATCTTCTTCAGTTAACACATCTTCGAGCCTTGATATGTTTTGCCACGCTACCACAAGATACAGGGACATTGTGGCAGCAATGCATTTAAACCGCGTAAGGCATTCGGCGAAATCAGGACTAAGCCTAAGGCGGGCAGGCGAGACCCCAGGGAGGCATTGAGCAGCTTTCATGTTTCCTCCACATTCGGTCCTCAAGGTGTTTCTGAATGATGCCTCCCATTTTACGATAGCGCCTATTTTGCCCCTTACAGGAAGTGTTTTCAAATACTCGGAATTGATTCAGGAAAAAAAATCCGAGGTGGTCTTGAGGCTTCTCCCAAGAGAATAATGCCTATAAGAAACCGTTTCGGGGAACATTCTGAACCTACTGTATACGGGTTCCACATGTTCAGATCACAGTGGTTTGATTTGATTCAATCAATCAATCAATCAAATCACAGTGGTTGTAATAAAGTGCCTGAAAATTTTGACTGAAGCGCCCATGCGATGGAGCTCATAGATGTCACGTATGTGTGTGTACTGTGGTGCGTTTCAAAAAGTATGTGGACACCTCAAAATCCCTCGATAAAAGGTAAACAAAAGAGGTCGTGTCATGAAAACCCCCTCAATCGATATTCCGCGCGGTCGATAACCTATCAGTGGAAGCAAAGCAGATAATATCGCCTCACTTTCGGAAAAGAATTTTGGTTGATTTTTTCTTTTGTTTCATAAGTATGTGCACATTTGAAGGAGATCAGATTTTGGCGCCCAAACTTCCACCGGTTTTGATCCGAATTTGCTGTTTTAATTTCGTCATCACGCCTATACTTCTTCCTGAAGACGAACAAGCTCAGATTAGGGTCTCTGCATGATACTGGATGCTCCAATCCCAGAAAATCGCTCGACAACTTGGTCCTTCTTCTTCATGCATTGGAAGAATTCACCCGGCACCCTGATAATTATACTCAGCACACACTCCGCGGGAGACATCCTTGCTACTTTAGACATCAGAAGAGTAGCCGACCTGTCGGGTCCCGAATTCTTATTGACTGCGCGTTCAGTTTGTGCTTCAGCTCGGGTGACCAGCCTGGCAGAAAGTTAAAGCAACAATCCAGGAACGAATTCGCGGGTAAGGACCACCTATAATGACGTTGCAGGTGAGAAGTTGGTCAATGGAGAAAGAAAAAGTAGAAAAAAACGTCGGGCAGGGGCTTAGACAGGGACTCCCCCTGCCGTTTAGGGAGACGTGTGTTGGACGAGTTGTCCGAACCTGCCCGTAGTACATGCGCTCCAATTGCAACTGCTGGCAAATAGCTGCATGCTTGCAAATACATAACTATTTGCCAGCAATCGAAATTGAAGCGCTTCAATTGCGTTCTTATGGAATCGACCTCATACAGCGCGGCGGTCCCGCAACGACCGCTAGTCAAGCACGCGACTCTGCACAGCGTATGTTGAGCGATCCGCCTCGGTATGGGTGATCCGCCCCCTCCAAGAGGACTTCGACCCCTTCCAGCGCATTTTAGAGGTAGGTTTTGAAATTAAAGACATTTCCTATAAACTTTAGTTGGGCTGGGGCATGTTTTGACCGCCTAATGACCAAGTAGTTGAAACCCTGCCTGGACTGTTGCTTTAAGCCTCATCCGCAAATGAGTACGCTATTCGACAGACGCGAGAAAAGCTACTCACTTCTAGGCTCTGCACAAGCTAGCAAGATTGGAGTCTGCTCGTAAAAACATGGCACCATAGGATAGAACATGGGGATAGGATACAATTTTTCAAAAAATTTTCTATTTTCAAAACAAGCAACTTTTTATGGACTTTTTCTCTTCAGGTGATCTTAACTCATGGAAAGAGTTCGATCTTGACGGTTCGGGTGGATTTTGCTACTACTGGAGAGGCTTGGCCGATGATCGCTCGTGCTCTCGAAAGGAATTTCGGAGGCCCGTGATGGAATTCTGGTCGTGCAGGATTTCGCAAGCAGGGGGACGTTGGGAAAGCTGCCCGCTCCATTATCTCGCGTAGGACAGTACAGAATACCGCAGCCTCCAATAATCACTGTTGCCCTCTTCTCAAAGAGTGAGCGCAACGCAACGTTGCATTCAGCAAGCAGCGACCACACGCTCTGTCAATGTTCCACAATCTAACAAAGAATGGCCTAATAAATAGTTGCTGAAAACGTCTAGATGGCATTGTGGTCTCCTTACTGAACCCTATGGGGCACCCATCTGATCAGACGTTTTCTTCCAGCAGCGGCAGTACAAAACTGCGATGAAGTTGGGGGGGCAGCGGAGGCAGCGACAAACAACTATTGGCAGACGTAGTTCCAGGATGCGGACAGAAAGGTTGAACCTGATTTAGAAAACTCTGGTAATAGGCCAACTGATTCTAATCCAGGTTACGTTTTTTTGTAGGTGTCAATACTTTTGAAACAAAGAAAAAATTCCATCCAGATTTTTTCCAAAAAAGGAGGCGATGTTATCTGCTTTACTATCACTTTTAGCTTATCGACTACGAGAATCGACTGCAGGAGGAATTCATTAGCACGAAGCCCCATAGTTGTCCTCAGTACGAATTTGGAGGAGTCACACACTTTTGATAACGCACTACATAGTGGCTTTGTGGATGATTCCACACATATTCGCACTACATTTCGTCTATTCAGGGCGCCCCTCATTGTGAATGCGTCTGAATTTCAATTATTGCTTTCCGTGTTCTGAACACCCTGTGGGCTCGATGAGAACTCTGTTCATTTCGTGGCACATTTCATAAACCTGTCAAAAAGCCTGGAGTCCTTATCTATACTATATGATTGTACGAGGTAAGTCCAGATGGTATAGTTTGCAAGAGCAGATCGATGGAGTATGAATGACCCTTGAAAAGTAATGAACTCACTAAAACATGCGATAATTTACTTAATGTTCATAGTATATTGCCAGACTACAGGATCATGTTTATCCAAACACCCAGCAATGCAGCAACGAACCTCAATAATGGCGATGTCGTATCCCGAGAATATGCCGAAGTGAGGAACCTAGGAATGATGGTGTCTGGCAGCCGAAGGTGACAGAGGCATTAAGGGCACGGAGTAGCGTCTGATCCGCAGCGTTGTCGGCTGGGCAGTCTTCCGTGGTGCGTCCTCGTCCCCTCTCGCAGAAGCCTCGCTGCATGGTCTCTTGTACGGCTCCGCCTCCTGTAATCAGCAGTCGTGATCAGAGCATGAGGAGAAAAGCCAATCCCAAGTTAGATATTAATTGTTTAGCTCACCAAAGCACGCACAGCTCTTACAATTTCAAAGAGTCAGTTCTTCCATAGCGAACCTTTGCACCACCTGATCGGTACAAAATGTAAGTAATGGTACAGTGAATGTGCGCACACTAGGTCACTGAAATTTCTGGCGGGTAAGCTACAAAAAAGTCTCTTCTTTTTCGTTTCTCAGTTCTCTCTTCTCATCTGCCGAGTATAGCCCATTGGTCGCATTCACTGTCTCACCGTGATATTATGACGCGCCGCACTGCGTGTGCAGCCACGGTGAATAACCCGTGGAAAAGAACATCTCAAATACGGATTCACGGACAGCGGGAGCCGGGGGTAGCGGTCTAGAACTAGCAGGCTGAGTAAACGCACTTACAAGGAAAGGATCCCACCTCGACATGGCCTTTCAAGATGGGATGCATATTTCTGTACCAATCTTGGGACGCTGAATTCGAATCCGCCCTCCAAATCTGCTAAACGATTCTCTGAACGAAGTTGCGAAATCGTTTATCGGCGGGGAGTGCGTTCATAACCAGCTGCGCCACCGAAGCACATCCCGTTAGCGGCTCCAGTGTTCATGAACGCACTCTCCGCCGATAAACGATTTCGCAACTTCGTTCAGAGAATCGTTTAGCAGATTTGGAGGGCAGATTCGAATTCAGCGTCCCAAGATTAGTACAGAAATATGCATCCCATCCTGAAAGGCCATGTCGAGGTGGGATCCTTTTCCTTGTAAGAGCTCTTTTCCACGGACGATGAATTTAGTGCACGTCATCAAGACCCAAGCCAACCCTAGCCATGGTGATCAGTGCCATGAGTGAGAGGGCGGTGAAAATCGAAAAAAAAAACAGAATCTCGATAGCTCATAATTTTTCTCAAAGTTTGCGATTCCTCAATAAGTGCAAAGGGGTCTTCGCCATGCACTCACTGACCGAGGGTGTTGAGGCGAGTGCCTCTTCAGCCCCAGTTACACTTTCGTTACGGTAATTTTGTCGCCAGAAGTTCTCAAGGTGTTCCTCTAATGATCGACTGAAAAGGTTATATGTGACCTGCTCGATATTAAAGGCAAGCCCGGGCGAAAGGTAGTGTATAAGAGCGTAATGACTGAGCTGCGAAGCAACCTGAAAGTGGAAAGAAATGCAAAAAAAACACCGTAGACACTTAATCAAGGCCTTACTCTTCAGTGAAGG